CGTGTCAAAGGCCTTACAGAGGTCCAGATAGACGACATCTGTAGCCCTTCCCATGTCCACTGCTGTAGTCACTCCACCATAGAAAGCCACTAGGTTGGTCAGGCAGGACTTGCCCTTGGTGAAGCTACACTGGCTGTCTCGAATCACCTCCCTGTCCTCCGTGTGCCTTAACATAGCTTCCAGGAGGATCTGTTCCATGATCTTCCCAGGCACAGAGGTGAGACTGACTGGCCTGTAGTTCCCCAGGTCTTCCTTTTTTCCCCTTTTTAAAAAGGGGGGTTACATTGCCCCTTTTCCAGTCAGTGGGAACTTCACCGGACTGCCACGACTTCTCAAATACAATGGAGAGTGGCTTAGCAACTTCATCCGCCAGTTCCTTCAGGACCCGCGGATGGATCTCATCAGGTCCCATGGACTTGTGCACCTTCAGGTGCTTTAGATGGTCTCGAACCTGATCTTCTCCCACAGTGGGCAGCTCTTCATTCTCCCAGTCCCAGCCTTTGCCTTCTGCAGTGAGGCTCGAGCACGTGCCAGTGAAGACCGAGGCAAAAAAGTCACCGAGTACCTCCGCCTTCTCCGTGTCCTGGGTAACCAGGTCTCCCGTTTTGTTCTGGAGAGGGCCCACATTTTGCCTCGTCTTCCTTTTTGTCAGGTTCAGCCATCAAAACACCTTTTGGTACCACAGCCAGATTGAGAATGGGGTAAGAAAACACGTTGCTGTGTGTGTGGACTCGTGCCAAATGCCTAGAACGAACAGGTTCTGACTTGCTGCTACCATAGAAGGATTTAACTGCTGGTGACTTCTTGTGTGACACAGCTATGAGGTCTCATGTTTAAATGAACCATCAAGAGAACAGAGCTGGTGAAAGGAGTATGATAGGGATAAAAAGCTACTTTCTATATTGCATTGGCACCTGGCACCCCTAGTGTAAGCTATGTGGGCAAACACTGCACTTTGTTCCAAGACAGTCAGTCCTTATCCTGACTGACAGGAACGAACAAATAAGGGAAAAAAAATATTTGGCTATAAAGAAATGAGCTGTAATCTTGCCTGACAAAAGTTGACTTGTATTGTATAGTGACATTCTGTAGCCCACACAGCAAAAGCGGATCGCGACAAAGTTTCACGGGAAATTTTTGGCATGGCGTTGTCTGCAAGAACGTGAAAATCGTAATCGGAGGAAAGGACAAAGAGGCAGTTAAAGGCAGGGCAGCTACCAAGGAGTGATGTCTATAAAAGCTGACAGAGGAAGGCTTAAGTCACAGAGGGCCTTTTGGAAGCGACTGCAGACTTGTACCCAGCAGTGAAAAACGGCGTGGATGGAAGGGTATGGCTTGTGACACTGAGGTCAGGGAGGGAGGGGGGCGATGCAAGGGGAGGGGGATGGCTGGTGCCAGGAACGGCGGCAGAGTTGCGGGGTATTCGGCACCGAGGTCCCACTTGCCAGCCTGGCCCACAACTTTGGTGCTGCAGGCAGAAAAACGGCCAGCTAGTATAGCACCAAAAAGCATAAAGTGGAAGTGATGTCTGGAAGCTTTAATGAAGGGCAAAAGGGGAATCAAAAGTTTAAGAAGAGTTTAGAACTGGCGGTTTGGTGTTTGTGAGGAACATTTTCTATTTAAACTGGACTCTCTCTTTGGAAAATATGGAATTTGGAAATTCCATTTTAGGAAAGCAGAACTGAGTTCTTGCCGTAGCAGTGTGAGTTAAAAATCTGCTTTTGGCTGTCTGTAACCATCAAGTCTAGCAGTAGTTGTCAGGAGTCGAGAGCGATACAGGATGTGCCCCAGAAGCGCAAAGGACATTTGGATCAAGAGACATTTAAGCTATCCAGAGTGAGAGTTAAATCCTGACGCGCAGCCCTGTGGGGCCATCCTTACAAGGTCTGAGATGTGGCTGGGCATCAAATATGGAAAATATTCGTACTAAAGGATATAGAGCCCAGATCCACTACTGCCCTGCTTTTGAAGAGAACAAAGATGACAAAAAAAAAGTAGCACGGCACGGCCTGTTTCAGTTCCTATTGCTAATGAACCTCTCTGCCGCAAGCAGGTAGGGTTCATCGGTTTGGGTCTCCAACACCCTGTTTCGGCTCCACTTGCGCCTGCTGCTGTTTTTTTTTTTCCGAAGCAAACAACCGGCCGGCGGCAGGCGCTGGCCGGCCGAAGGGCTTCTCCTCCCG